CCAAGTGCTAGCCTTTTGTAATGGATTGGTGGATCGGTGAGTAAGTGACTGCCCAAATTTTCGAGGTTGGGTCCAAAATTTCAGAATTCGCTAGAAGTTCGCTCAAAGGGAGAGTCTGGCTCTCTGATTACGAATATCATACTTGTTCGAAGCAAAAATGCCTGGTCTCTGCGCTACAAGCGCCCAAAGTAGTGAGGAGCGATGCCGCCCAACGTTATTAATTGGCCCCTTAATTCTTTGTACTTTTAACTATACGCAAGCATGTTGGACTAGCGATGTTAGGAATCTTCCTAGCTATCTTACTGCAAACGGCAAAAGAACAAACTCGCCAGGGAGTTCGATCCCCTGACCTCTTTTTCGTGAGCCTCGACACACTGCCCTCTGCGCTTTTCTGCTTCATAATTCCTTTCAGAGAAGAGTTCAGCAGATAAGGAACACATATTTGAGCTCAGCGTCGGGCCAATGGGCGCGCAATAAAAATACATATCACTTATTCACTTGGCCGGTTGAAGGGGCCACCATGACCTTTGCGCTGGTGAGCATTTATTTTCTGTTTAGAAGGGCTTCCTTTGCGAAGGACCCAAAAAAGTGGAGTTTGAGGAGTGGTAATCCCATCACTGCTCCGCTTTTTCTCAATTAGTTCATGACCTCAGGTTTGGCGCTACTGGATTTTGATCCCCTGAATACGAATATCGTACCTACTTGCCACGGAAAAGCATAGCACCTGCACTACGGGCACCATGGCACTCACAGACAAGTAGTGCTAAACTTAAGAGGATCTGCTTGCAAACTCTTCGTAGATGTAGCGTCGGGCGACCGTTGATAAAATAACGGATTCAAAAAGGCTTTTCAGCCATGTTGGAAAAAAAGCAAAACACAAACCCGTAAGGGACCGAACCCCCGACCCCTTCCGTGAGAAGCAAGACCGCTACCAACTGCGCTACCGAAGCTCACGCGCCTCGGTTCTCCTTTCGATACTTTTATAATGCAGCTAACATGTGATTGCAGGCAAGACACTGAAAATCAAGGGCGGCAAAAACCCTCCGTAACTCCTTTCAGAGAAGAGTTCAGCAGATATGAAAGCAGATTTGAGTTCAGCGTCTCATGTTGCGTACAGAAATGTGCACCTCATTTCATTTGGCCGGGTTGGCCTAATGACCTTTCCTGGTCAGCAGAGTATGCGGAGACATTTTTTTGCACCTGAATGAGCTCTGCACGCGATATAGCAAGACCCTAAGGACTGCGTTCTGCTTTCGAATTTCCTTCCGCCTTCAAATTACGACTCCTATCGTTAGCCCTAATTTTCAGGCTCGGTAACATTCACATGGTACCAGTTTTGCTGCCTGATTACCTGACCATAAAACGCTGCCCCGAGAAACAACAACAGTTGCTTTTCCTGCTTAAACTCAACACGAAATCAGCCAGCGTTCGCTTTGCTTGCTCTGTGTCCGGTGTTATATAAGTACGATGTCGTCAGCAAAGCGGATGTGATGTATTAGGTATTATAAGTTCCTAAACTCGTTTGACCCCGCACCTTCCCTATTTCAAGGGGGAATCCCTGTTCAAGGGTTCGCCGACGATTCTCTTTCCTTCTTTTTTCATTTTTGTTCAACTCGGCATCCACAACTCCCTGGCGTTGCTTTGAGTAGAGGAAGATAAAGAAATGATCCGAGGCAAATATTATACGGTGTGGCGAAATGACGTGCTTCACAAAAAGTCCAAACTTTATTTTTTTCACAATAATTCGGAAGTAATTGATTTTTCAAAACATAAATCATAATTTTTAAAAATTGTGATGTTTGATGATGATCGCCATCAATTTTGACACAGAACCAAATGTGTTTTTCATCGGGTCGATGGTGCGGCGGAGGCGTCTGGTCTTCTCGATCCGTTGGTTCACACGTTTTTCTAAAGGGTTGATCCATAATTTCTGGCCGATTTTGGTTCAAATTCAATTTCTTCATGTCAAATTACTTCATGATGAAATAAGTTAATATGTTGAAGAACACATCAGGACCTTCAGCCAGGATGATTCAGAAGCTCAAGTGCGCAAAGGGATAATTAAGTAGGAATCAAAATAGATCAACAACCAAACCCAACCATTTTGCCTTGCGACAATTTTAAGAAGAACCTTGCAAGGAGCGCGGTAGGCAAGATCAGCGCTACGTTTGCCCCAGTCTTTGCTACTGATCGGCACTGAGCTATTGGCTCAATAGCATACGCAAAGGCGATAGGAGCTGCAAAGTTCGACCTCATCACGGACCCCAATCACTTTCGATGAGGACCGCTTGCGCTACGAATAGGAAGTGCATCCGGACGCTATTAGCAGGAAACTGTAGCAAACATCTGGGCGCAGCCTACGCTCCATGAGTCGACACCTGAATGGAATGGACTGTAGGAATGAAGCCTCGATGGAAACAGCATGCATGGACTGACCATGACCGAGAAGCACGCCTGACCATCTGCAGAAGTTTCATTCTGCGACCGTATAGACAAGACATTCCCTGGTTGGTCACCAGTGCAGATGAGTCATGAGTCCCCTACGATAACAACACGCGGCTCGCCCGGTGGCTACCTCGCAGCCTGGACGCAGCACATCAACCAAAACCCGAGCTGTTTCATCAGAGGGTGTGACCCCCGTTTTGTTGGATTCGCTGGGTATCCCGTTTTGAGAACCATTTCACTTTATGCAGACAAGCATTGCGAAGGTAACCATGGAATAGCTCCCAAAGTTGGCCGCAGCAGTGCGGGAGAACGGTTGGAAACGTCTCAAAATCTCCTTTCTCCGGAGGACCGCCCGAAATCACATTGCAAAGATAACTCGCCACGTTTCGAGGGAAACTGGCTGGACCACGACACCACATCTATCGTATAGCCCTGACATTGCTCCATCGTACTATCACCTCCTCAGCCCCTGAAGCAGCAGCTAGGAGAGGAAAAAGTCAGTAAATACAACCACCCCAAAAACGACCTCTTCGAGCTTTTCATCTCACAGCTTCTCTCGTTCTGGGAGGAATGCATCCATTCGTTCCCTAGCAAATGGGTGCATATGATGGTGGTTATGTTTTTGATCAATTGTTCTTTAGGAAAGATAAAACTTGAAAAATCAAAGTGTTGAAATTCGGCCAGAAATTATGGGTCAACCAATAGATGGCTCTAAGAGAAACTATGTACTGCTGCTTACAGCATTCCAACTTGAGCAGGTTTTCGACATGCTTGGAGAACAACTACTCCCTCCTTTCAACAAACAGCGATATACAAATATTTTGAATAGAAAAAGGTGCGCATAACTTCCCTACACAATGTTTATAACAAAGCGAAATCTCACGCGCATGTAATTCGCCGCCCTTTATTATAATAATAGAAAACTTTCTTGCTCTATGTTGGCATCAGTCCAAGAAATAACGCGGCACATCTAACCATTGTAGGACCTTTGCTGTGACAGGTGATTATTTCCGAAAACGTATTTCTAGGAGTCGTTAGCGATATGGAACCACATCCCATTCTTGGCTACATTGAGTATGTATGCATTGTGTGGTTCATTTTGGAGTACGGTAGGTTATTGATCACTTCTGATTGATTAATCTATGTCTTTCATACCTTCATCTACTTTTCTCATATTTCAATTCCGAATTTCAAAAACATTTCAAAAGTCAGTCACAAATAATTGTACAGATGAACACAGAAAATCGCATTTTTTTCAAGTCACAAAAATGATCGTGACATCCTGATCGGAGGCGGACGTTTTTTCAACTGCTCAATATCATCGATTTGATGGCAATTTTGCCTTTTGTCATCGAAATGCTATTGTTTTTGTTTGGTGTGAGCACGGAGCAGCTAAGGGATCTCAAGGTAAATCACAGTTAACCCTGGAAAGTCCCGCAGAAAACCTCTCCCCTTCGGACTTCAATCATTTCAGGGAGCATTTCTGGTCATCCGAATTCTGCGGGTTTTGCGGGTGATTCGGGTGTTGAAACTCGGACGATACAGCAGTGGCTTACAAATGTTCGGAAAAACGCTCAAAGTACATTTTTGTTTTCTCGTTTTTCTTAAGTTTTTTGAAGCGAATCTCATCTATGGCTATTCTTGGATCGCACTTATTATTTTCAGGCGTCGTTTCGACAGTTGGGAATGATGGCTATGGTCGTTCTGACGGGTGTGATTTTCTTCTCAACGTTGGTGTATTTTTTAGAAAAGGATGAGCCTAGCTCGCAGTTCTACTCGATACCGGCTGCATGTTGGTGGTAGGTGTTTCCTTTTTCTCTATCAACGACCAAAACGAGGTCCTTCTCCAAGTTCTGGATGGTTGCTATAAAATAAAGTTCTTGATTTTATCACTTGAATTTTGAGAATTGTTTTCAACGAGCAATTACCGACAAAGCATCAAATTATCGTGACCTTGCATGCGTTGCCTTGAAGGCAGTTACTCTGATAAAGTGGATGTTCCAGAAAGGGAATATGCTCACTGCCATGGTTATGGAGCGGGAGCCCAAGGAAATCGAGTGTAAGATTTCAGGGCAAATGGTGCGCCCCCAACTACCCAATGAGGCCTTACCCGTGGCAGAGGCGCCTCCTTGGTATAGCTTGTGTAACGCCGTCGTCCTCAAAGGACTTCAACCCCGTGCCACATCTGAAGCGAAGAGCACTAGGCACAATGAGAGCTCCATCATGCTGGTTTATGCCATGTTCCTTAAAGGACGAATTCACGATGAAAAAGCAACCCATTTCAAATTAACCTAGGGATGGTGAGTGGTACACGAAAGAAGGAAGAACCATGAGAAACGGCCCAGAACCCGAGAAATGGGACCCCTTCCTTGCCCGTTGATTTGAGCATTGATGCGACTCTCATCGCTGTGCCCTCTTCAACACTACGCTCTCTCAGCTATCTAATCACTCGCCACGTATTGAACTACGGCGAGTGATCAGATGATCGGTGGGCGGAGATCGCCGGACCCGCCAGCTTTGAGGCATGATAGGTCGCCGAGGTCAAATTTTTCCATGCGAATTGCGCGTCAGTTCGCACCCTCAGGAGGTCCGTGGGTCCCTCAACTAGGTCAGTTTCCCTTTCTTCGACCTTCATTCTAATCGTGAATTCCTCCTTTAATTTGTTTTCATTGCTGCACCATTTCCAGCCAGAATTTCATCCCAAACAGGTGGGGCGATTTTACATATCAACTGCCGTTGAAATTTCACTTTTCCCAAACATATTGATAGGGAGGTAGCTGGAGCAGAGTGAAAATGGTGTCGAGGGAATCACCACGTCCTAATGACTCCTCCCCCCCCCCCCTCCCCCCC